GACTATGGACTTCGCAGTGGGTCGACTACACACTCAGTGATTAGCTTCGCTGATGACTGCACTGGACTTCTCTACGACCTCCGTCATACTAAGTTCTTCCTCACTTTGGTTGAGGACTTCTGTGTGGCTTCAGGCATGAGACTGAACAAGGATAAAACTGTGGTACTCCCCTTTCAGTCGTGGACAACCGAGACTGAGCCTTTACGCCAGGCCTTAACTGACCTGGGTGTGATTGTAGTCGGAAACACCGGACGCGCTAAATTACTGGGTATTTTCTACGGTCCAAGCCTGAGTGACGCTGGCCGTCTGCAGCATCTGCTAGCTGAAATGGAGACCAGGTGCTCAATCTGGCTTCACCGCGCAAGAACTTTACGGGGGCAAGTTGTGATATTGCAGCAGATTATCCTGCCTGTGTTGTGGTACTCTGCCAGCGTCTGTCATATCCCTCAGACGGGATTTCAAGACCAGCTTCTTCAGCTTATATCACGCTTTCTCCGTCGGTTCAAGTCTTCTACCGCTCTGCCCAGAGCCTGGTGGTTTCTTCCTCCGCACAAAGGTGGATTGGGTATAACGCCCATTTCCGACATGATTAAGAGTCTGCAGCTGCATATGCTCTGCAAAGTGATTCTTGCTGGGAGGACTCCCCCAGGCACGAATATTCCTTCTTGGGCGGACCCGGTTATTCGTCTCTTCGACCAAGCTGTGACCCCCTGGGGGAAGGACTTCGATATCCTGTATGCGCCAGTATCTACAAGTCCAGACTATGTGGTTTCCCGGCGGTCTACTCGTTGGTCTGCTCTCGGTGTATACTGGCACTTTGTGCTTTTTACCTGGCATACCCTTTTCCGAGGGAAAGCTGCTAGACTCCAGGTTAAGTTTGACAAGCTTACGACGCCTCTATTGGACAATGTGGATATCGCCTACAGCTACCGTGGTTATACTCTGGCTGGGACTACTCGTCCTTTGGGGTTAATCTCCGTTCTGGCTGAACAAGAAATTCTTCGGCCCCTAGAACTCTATCGCGCCTGTGAAACACCTGTGACGGCAGAGACTTTATCCCAGTTTCTTAACCAATTTGTCACGGGGAGGATTTCCAGTGTACGCTCGTGTGCCAACTTCCTAGACAAGGCTGATCGCCTGCTAGGCTCCCTCAAGGAGCTCCCAGTTGGCCCAAGCCAAACTACGCGGTACTACGCTGCGTTTCATACCTGGGTCTTTGACACTTATGAAGTGGCTGAACTAAGTGTGGCTCGCATCCGCAAGGTACTAGCCCAGTATCCAGTTCCTGATTTACCCCTTAATCGCCTAGGTGTTGAAGGTGGACCTCCCAAGTCAATGTGGACACGGGATATCAAGATGGGACGGCATGTACTGCCAGTGTACTCCGACCTACTTTACCGGCTTCAACACAATGCTCTCTACGTTGGCTATCGGCTTCAACACCTCCAAGAAACCCAGTGTATGTGCCATCATGGATGCGGTGTACTTGAGACTGCCCCCCATCTATTTTGGTACTGCGACTTTGCAGCTAAAGTGTGGCAAGCCTGGCTTGCTGTTTTCCAAGGCTTTTTCAAGTCTACACTGGAATGGGAATCAATACTGTTGTTCAAGGTTGAGCCCATACCTTCTGCCAAGTCCCGGTACGGCTACAGCCTCTTTGTGATGCTTCACATTGTACGGACTGTGGTTCTTCGCTGTTTATGGATGCACCGGAACGACATCCGCTTCCATGAACTCTCAGTCAACCTTATCGACGTACAAGCACAAGTCAAGGCGGTAGTGACACTCCACGTTGAGCGCTACTATCAAGATCTTCTGCTTAAAACACTGAGCCATTCTGGGTTTCAACGTCGGCACTTGCGGGACTTAGTGAGCAGTCTTGGACTCACCCTCGTACTCCCAGCAGAAACCGATACTGAAGACGCCCAACTGGAGCAAAACACAGCATAACTGTGTGCCATGGGGCCAACACTCCCAGGCTACAATTAACTCGCCCCTGACGATCAAGAGACTCACGACGGCTGCCACGTCGCCAAGGAATTACGCTCAAGTTTACGGCTACTACGCTCAAGGTTACGGCTACTCGGGACCCCACTCTCGACTACCATACAATGAACACTTTCCAACCGCAAGAAAGGAAAGTGATTTTACCACTCTGGTATTACTAGAGTGGTTTTAGGCTGTGCCTATTTGCCTTCAACGGGCCTTGCCCATTTCCGGTTTTTTGGTACTACTACTCAAGCTCGTCAATCTCGATTTGCCAACTGCGACCGTTTGGAGTCACGGGTTAACCCGATCCGCGTCACACACTTACACAGTGAGGTGATGTGATAGCCTTAAGCGTTAGCGATCCGCAAGACGTACGACATCCACTGTAACCCTATCGCCCCGAAGGACAGTACCCATACGTTGGCTACTTCCTGGATTATATCCAGAAAGCTTCGCATATCACCGGTGTTAGGCAGGTGGTGTAACGACTCCCCACACGACAGCGCCGAAGCGTTTACCGCAGGCAATCGAAATTTCAGACTTTTCAAGTAGTAGAAGACTCGGCTCAATCCCCCAATATCATGCACCACCACTCCGCCAGAATGGTCACGGTGGGGATCGAACCCGTGACCACTGGCTTGGAACATTGGTAGTTAACCACTGCACCAAACGGCAACCCGGTTGGGAAGTGCGACAAAGTGCTTTATGGGGTTGCACCTTGAGTTCACTATGTGACTTGAGGTTTGTATACTCACACTTGATGTTTGTATGTTAGAACGGCCTCGCAAGCGACTACGACTTCATCACTTACAGTTTGTATGTTAGAGCAACTTAGTTAGTACAAGACAAGTAGCTAGGCATTTTGCTGGATAAAAAGTGTAATGCAATTTGTTTCTCTGTGAAGTTAAGCAGCCTCAAGCTCGGGTAGTACTCGGGTGGGTGACCACCGGGGAAGTCCGGGTGCTGTCTACTTTTTAGCCCGTTTTGAGCTGTTTACCGACTTTGCGTGTGTTTGCAAACGCAAGATATGATGTCTGGCATGTGCCCACACGACATCTTGGTTTTAGTATGCCTGGCGAGCCACT